ATATCAAAGTTATTCAGTGAACATCCCATTACAAGTAAAAAGCGTTGATGTTGACTTTCCGTATCAAATATATTTGCCAAGTATTCACTTGGTATGAGATCAATATCAAAGTCGTAGCACCGCCCACCCTTCGCTGAAAGGAAAACTCCAAGGATGCAAACTGACAGAAAAAAGCACAGATTTTGTCAAAACTCAGGAGAGAAAAAAAACTTTCTGCTCACAGAACAACAACTGTACAACACACTAATAGAATGAAAGTTGTCATATTTTGCTTTTTATTGAGAGAAATGGAGGTGAAGTGGAGGCAGTAGCTGACATGTATTCAGTAAAAGAGACTTATTTGGCCAAAAACCACATGAATTACCTCTGCAGCCTTTGGTCACTGAGCAACAGTCATCATAAAACTCATTTATGGATATATTTATCTGTGTTTTCAGCCTTTTATTTACAGAAATCAGTGTTTCATTATGCAGAGCTGCCAGGTGAGCGCCCCCTCTGGTGGGGGAATAGATAGTCGTGGAATACAAATAAACGAGCCTTTTTTCGTTTCTGTCTTAAAGTAATTTTCTTTTTTGCTATCTGAAACAGAAAATGAAACTCGAATCATTTTTAAAATTTCGTTTATCCTTTTTTGGCACTATGAATGAGAAATGCTTTGTATCTTAATTTTAATTTCAGTATTTTAAAACAAAAATCAAATATTCACTCGTTTCTTGTTTTTTAACACCCGTTTGAAAAATGAAAATCCAATGACCAAAAGATACACTGACCCTTTAAACTCAGTCCAGGCTTTTGGTTGTAATACACAATTTTTGAATTTATAAAGACTTGAAATCTGTCGCAAAATTCAGCAAATAGTTAAACATTTCATGAACTTATTACAGCTTCTGTTTGTAATTGATTACTGTTGTAAAATAATTGGGATGATGCTGTTATAGAGTAAACAACTTTTAAATAAATGAACAACTTACAGAAAACGTTCATTTTAATCTTTCAGCCTTTTATTCTCAGTGAATAAAAGCCATTTGCTACAACATGTTGTGTGAATTGAACAGTGTGCGACCCTTGTGTTTGTGTTTGTGTTTGGTCCCTCAGGCTTTGACTGGAGTCTCCATTTTAAATGGGAGCAGTTGTCGCCTGAGCAGCAGGCCCGCCGGACCGACCCGACCCAGCCAATCAAGTAAGGCGCKCGCGTGAAAGTTGAACTCACCAAGACTTAATGCAGCGTTTAAAAATGTTAACAGGTAAATCTAAAGTTTAATCAGAATGTTCACGAGCTGCGGCTTCTGGCAGCAAACTGCTGATAAATAAACTCTTTAACTGTGAGACGGAGCGACTTATTACCACTGATCTGAACCAGTTTATTGTTATAATTTATTATAGTTTGAGCCTCTGATTGGTGTAAACTTAAAGCTGGGTTTAGATATCCAGGTCCAAAAAATGGGGAAAYGGGGAAGATTATGAAGCAATAAAAATACAGATCTTATAAACTAACATGTAGGAGGAGAAAGTAAAATACAGCAGGTGACCTATTTGAGCTGTTTTTTATGTACACAAAAAAAAAACAGATATTTTACATTTGCTTAAAGGGATCCATGATTAGTTGTACCTTTAGACTTTGTTTAATAATCATATATTTTAACTGTAAAATAAAGACTGTAAAAATACTGTAGGATGTTAAGTTTTGTAAATTTTTAATAATAAGAGATAATGAGATAATTAAGAGCATTGACAGAGAGGAGAAGGTAGAAATGACTCAGCCTGGAACTGAAAATATGGATGAAGGACAACAGAGCTGCTTCATGCAAGAAGAACCTCAGATTAGCCTGTTAGCTTTAGTGTTAGCCCCGATGCTATCACCATATATATGTATTAGCTCAGCGCTACACATTCTCCTCTCGTCACTGAGGTCCTCCATCCACATGACAGAGAGGGGAACACAAAAATGACTCAGCTGCAACTGAAAATATGGATGGAGGACCTCAGTTTAGCTTGTTTGTCGCGCTAGTGCTGAATTAATACATATAAGGAAATATAAACACCACTCAACTYATTTGAGTGGAAATAGTTGACTTAACTTTATTAAGTAAATCCAACATCTGTTTTTTGAGTATAGACAGCTGAAAACCAGGGTTACCACAGTTAACTAAAACT